TTATTTTTTCATGGAGCAAATTAAATTAATTAACTCTAATGATCTATTTATCCATCTATCTATTCTTGTTAAACCTGCCATATTTTTGTCCCTCCTTTTCCTTGTTCCTGCACTTACCCCTGACCTCCTCTAGTCCTGAAGGCTTGTCGATTGGTGCACAATTTACATTTCTTTTTGATTTTTCTTATAACAATGGTGATATTATTTATAATTATAAGGTTGATTGAGTTTGCTAAACATAATGTTCTCGAGTTTTGTCCATGTCTTGCAATGTTTAAGAGAGTTACTGTTTTTTATTGATGCATAAAATTCTATAATGTGAATGTAACACAGCTTGTTTATCCACTCCTCTACAGTTGGGGTTTTTGGTTATTTCCATGTTTTTGCTGTTGTGGAAATTACTGCAATAAGCAAAGGTGTACAGATGTCTGCTGGTGTTATAGTTTTAACTCGAGTATATACTCGAGTATAAGCTGACCCAACTATCAGCCGAGGCACCTAATTTTGCCACAAAACCTGCATTAAAAATGTGCTGAAAAACTCGGCTTATACTCGAGTACACACGGTGCATAGCCAGTAGAGATTGCTGGATCATAAGGTATTTGGAGTTGCACTTAGGGGCACGTGCCATGTTTATTTCCATAATGGCTGTACAATTCTACAGTGCTGCCAGCAAGGTCAAAGCTTTCCTATCTCTCTGTATCCTCTCCAGTACTTGTTAGGTTCTGTTTTATTGAAGTCTGCCTGAAATGTCAGTGTGGGGTGATATCTCACTATTGTTTTAATTTGTATTTCTCTTATTGCTAATGATCTAGAACATATCTTCATGTGGCTGTTGGCTGCCTGCATGTCGTCTTTGGTAAATTGCCTATTCAAGTTTTGTGCTCATTTTTTTATTGGATTATCTGAAGTTTTCTTATTAAGATATTTTCTCTAGATTTTGGAGATTAGCCCTTTATCTGATATATTATTACTGAATCTTTCCCCAATCTGAGGGTTCTCTGCTGACTCTTTTGATGAAGTCTTTTGTTGTGCATAAATGTCATGTTTTTAGTACGTCCTAGGTCTTTATTTTGTCTTCTGTCGTGTGGAGAATTTTCATTATGTTCGCTAGTGTGTTTACGCCTTGTATAAGGTTCCTTAAAGTTGTCCCTATTTCTTCCTTGATGGCTTTCATCATTGTGTGATTTCTTCTGAGACCTTCTATCCACCTGGGGTTTTTGTGCAGTGTGAGGTATGGGTCTTCTTTCATTCGTCCACAGGTGAAGATCCAGTTTTCCAGCACCATTTGTTGAGAAGGTTATCCCTTGTCCATTTAATGTGTTTTAGTTCTTTATAAAAAATTAGGTGTCTACAGGCACTTGGTTGTATTTCTGGGTTTTCAATTCCAATCCATCGGTCTTCCTATCTATCACTGTATCAGTACCGGCCTGTTTTGATTATTATGGCTCCATAATAGTTCTAAGGTCTGGGAGAGAAAGGTTTCCTGCTCAGTTTTTATTTTTATTTTTTAATCATTTAATTGGGGGCTCATACAACTCTGATTACAATCCACACATACACATCCTTTGTATGTCAAGCACATTTGTACATTTGTTGCCCTCGTCATTCTCAAAAACATTTGCTTTCTACTTGAGCCCTTGGTATCAGCTCCCCATTTCCCCCTCCCTCCCAGCTACGCCCTCCCTCACGAACCCTTAATAATTTATAAATTATTATTTTGTTATATGTTACTCTGTCCGATGTCGCCCTTCACCCACTTTTCTGTTGTCTGTCCCCCAGGGAGGAGGTTATATGTAGATCCTTATAATCAACTCCCCATTTTTACCTTCCCTTCCCTCGACCCTCCCGGTATTGCCACTCTCACCACT